ATTAAAGAAGTAATATATATGACATTAGGTTGGAGGTATCTCAATAGAGTTTGAGAAGCTCTTTAATCAGCGTTTTAAAAACAAAAAATGAGGATGGTTGTCAAAGCCTAAATATTCGGTGATTTAAAAAAGAGAAACGTGTGTGTGTTCGCTTTAGAAATAAGCAACGAAAAATACAAAGAAGCATTTTTTTCTGTCACTGGATGAATGCACACATACCTTCATTTCCACACGGGGCATTAGACGGTCTGACGCTGATTCAAGTGTTACCTGAGTGGTGCAGTATTCTGTAAGAGTACATTTAAAGTGACGTCAGTGCTTCTGTCCGTATCCTGACGAGTGGAAAAGCCTCAAACACCAAGGGGCTCCATGAAAACCAACTGAACACATTATTTTAAAGAAACGGACACATATATCAGTCTATCTATCTGCAGCTGCTAAAACAACACTTGGTTCAGCGTTAGGCGAACTCTAAAGCACCGTTACCGCTCAGCATTTCTTATTTCTTTCCTCATTTGCTTGCAGACCTTTCTCTCTTCTGCCATCTTCTGTTTCATTTTTATTTATTTTCTTGGTATTATTGAATGGACTGTTTTGTCTGCCTGCTCAAAGTTTCCGTTCATCTGCACTTTAAACCAGGAAATTAACAGTAACAGCCGCTTCAGAAGGAATAATTCAATAATCTAAGAAAAATGACTGCCTACTAAAATGGAGAGTTTGGCAAAACGTCATTTTATAAAACTGTGGTGCAAATCTGGCAAAATGTAAGTGGCTGAAGCGTCTGTTAGTTTCCTGTGATCAATTCATCTGTTTGAATGCATTAAAAGGTCAACTTCACCCACAAAATGACCATCTGTTTATTCGACGAATAGAATTGTTTGAGAAAAGTCAGAATTGTGAGACCAAAGTAGCAATTCTGAGAAAGTAAAAAAAAGTCAAAATTCTTAGAAAGTCAACATTGTGAAAAAATAAATCATGATTCTTACTTTTTAAGGTTTAGAAAAAAAGTCCTAATTCTGACAAAAAAGTGAGAACAAAATCAAAATTCTTAGAAAGTCAAGAAAAAGTCAGAATTCTCAGAAAAGAGTCAAAATTCTTAGAAACATTTTGAGAAATAAATCAAAATTCTTAGAAAGTCAAATAAGTCAAAATTCTTAGAAAAAAAGTAAAAAATTGTGAGAAATAAATCAAAATTCTTAGAAAGTCAAGACAAGTCAGAATTCTGAGAAAAATTGTTAGAAAGTAAAAAAAAAGTCAAAATTGTTAGAACTCTGAGAAAAGGTCAATATTCTAAGGAAAATTGCAAATCATATTTTTTCTCAAATGGGGCTTTCACACCAACGCGGTTCCAGGGCCGGTTCGGAGCTAGAGCCTGAAAAGCACAGTTTGTTCCTGTTCACACCGCAGCGGAGCCGCCTCGAAGAACATTTTTTCGACCTAGAAGCAAGAACCGCATACGTCACGCTTATGTTGGAGGCTGGGGCAGGGGCGGGATCAGTTCATGGCGAGTATGGAAAATGAAAGTTGTAACAAGCTGTAGCGCTGAGCAAAGTGACTAGAACGCAACCACACTTATAGAAAAAACACACTTTATAAAGTCAGGCAACGCTAACCAGGCTTCGTGTGATTCTGTTTATTTGCACCTTACTTTGACCATCCGTTCACTGTGATTGGTCATTGTGGAGAGCAGGCAGACATTTTGTATTATAGCAGCCATCGGATGGAATCAATACATGGGCTGCACAGGTTGCCATATCCGACTATCACAAGTAGAATCATAATGAAAAATACGCCGGTAAAATGTGCCTGTGGAAAACGGCCACAATAGGATAGCAACAAGTAGTCAGTTTAGCTTCGGTTGCTATGCTAACATCACCCATGTTATACCAGAGACACTTTAATAACAGCGTGATGCCAAACAGCGGGCAGCACTGCAGTGGTCGGTAAATGCCGCTGAAACACATTAATAAACAATGAACCACGGCACTTTGGAGAAAAGTGCAAGGTTTGAGAAGTAGTTATTTAATTTAATCTGGCTTCGTGTGATTAAAAGCAACACGATCATCGACCCGACGCCGTTGGGGAGAAAATCAGCGACGTAAACGGTGACGCCATGACGCAGCAGCTGCAGCACCAGTCGGGCTCTGGGCGGTGTGAACAAAACGAGGGCTGAAAAGAAGAACCGGTTCCGAACCAGAAGAGCCCAAGAGGAGCTAGAACGGGAACCGCGTTGGTGTGAAAGGGGCAAGAGGGTTCAAAGAACTATGTGGTGAACGTTGATAAACAAATGGTTCTGTGGGTGAAGATGACTTTTGTTTGTTGCTATCTTTAAACATTCAGCGGCAGAAACAAGAGACGAGACTCACTCTGAGGAGGTGACTGAACATCAGATACAGAAAATACTCCGATCCCAAAACCCCTCTTTATTCTGGACTGATATTAAATGTTAAACGCTGAGTCGTGTGTTTGGGGTTGCACAACCACTATTCCCAAAGCTCCCTTTCTTCGACACAGAACACATTTGAATCCCTTTAATGAGATATTCTGCTGTTATGTAACATCTCCAGCTTTTAGATCAACCCTTATGCTGGAGTAGAGATTAAATCACGAGCACAGACGTTTTAAAAGCTTTCAGGATCATTTCTAGAAATGTAAATGGAGCATATATAAGATTGTTCTCAGTGTTGTGCATCCTCACACACAGTGCCGTGGTTTGTTGTGTACCTGCATCATTACAGTGATTCTTCTCTCTTCTTTCTGCAGTGCACGCTGTGGAAAGTAAGTCCTTCTTTACTTGGAGTTTTAAAAATAAATAATCGTATAAATACCTGTCAAGATCCTCCTTGTCCCTGTGCAGGAACCTGTTTATGTAAATGTGGTGAAGGTTTGCAATTAGACAATCATTTTGTAAATTTAAGTGGAAGATACTTAATAACTTAATGCTATATAGAATAAATTGCAATTTGGATTTTACATGCATTTTTTACGCTATGTTATGTCATCACGCCCAACATTATCCACCTTTAGCTTAGCAGTGGTGACGTGAAGTCATGTGACCGTGCTGTAGTTCCTTTATAGCCCAACATTAGCCTCCTTTAGCTTAGCGGTAGTGACGTGAAGTCATGTGACCTAATTGTAGTTCCTTTATAGCCCAACATTAGCCTCTAGCTTAGCGGTAGTGACGTGAAGTCATGTGACCTAATTGTAGTTCCTTTATAGCCCAACATTAGCCTCCTTTAGCTTAGCGGTGGTGAGGTGAAGTCATGTGACCGTGCTGTAGTTCCTTCATAGCCCAACATTAGCCGCCTTTAGCTTAGCGGTGGTGACTAAATACCTCCTGATGTTTATAAACACTAATGAGGAGATTTAAGGGAGGTCAAAGGTCAGAGCCTCAGAAGCAGTGCTAACTAACCTCTCTGTGTCTTTTATCTTTAAACTAATCACTCTGAGGAGCTGAATCTCTCACACACTGATCAATAACTCAAACCCCTAACAGATCTGTAACCTGAGATACATCACATTCCCTCTTCTGTACTGAATGTGTATTTCAAGTATTTGTAATTAACACATTTCCCCGGGCGCCCTACATAATGCTCCTAACATTAGGATGGGTCAAATGCAGAATGTACACTTCCTCTCTGTGGGTCGACTCAGGGTCTTCTTCTTCTCTTCTGACGGAGTGTTGTTTTCTTTGTGTTTGTAGTTCACGACCTGCAGAGTTTCGGCTTAGACAACGTAAGTGACTCTGTTTAAAGTGACTGCAGCTCAGATGAAATGCAGAACAGCAACTAACGATTATTAAGACAAACCCATTAAGTGTTTTGTCAATGAATGTAAGAAAATAGTGTGATTTTCAGTCCCTCAAAAGTCCATCACGATGTCTTTAGATTATTCATTTGTCAGTCCTAAAGTCCACATATTCATTTTTATGATGTCAAAAAACAGGATTTTATTACTTAAACATTTTCTTCATGCCATTTTTGCACGAAAAATTACTTTACGGTTTAAATATATATTGAAAAAAATACTTTTCTTAGGTTAATTAATATCATTTGGTTTGGTAGTTTGAATACTTGCACACATTGTGGCTCAGGACTTTATTTGACAGATTGTAATGATTTAAATTGTAGATAGTAGCACTATACAGTGGAGGAAATACGTTTGATCCCTTGCCAATTTTGTAAGTTTACCCGCTTCCAAATAAATGAACAGTCTGTCATTTTAATGTCAGGTTTATTTGACTAATGAGAGAGAGAGAATATCAGAAAGAAAATCCACAGTTCAATGCAAATCTATTTTATATAATGTACATTTCTGGATTTCCTTTTTGATATTCTTTCTGTTTGAATAAACCTAGCATTAAAATGACAGACTGGTCATTTCTTTGTAAGTGGGCAAACTAGCAAAATGTGCAGGGGATCAAATACTTATTTTTAAACACCAACTTAAATGTTCTTTTAGTCTTTATTATTTACCTACTTTCATATTGTTTTATTTATTTTATAGGTCTTAAAATATGTTATGTTATTCTATTAATCTAACACATTTCAATAACAATATTTATTTTTACGTTGTTTTTTTAATATTTTAATCGTTTCACCTTTATTAGAATTATGGCATTTGTATTACTCTTATCTTTTTATTTGTATTTCTGTTGTTCCAACATGTTCACTTTGTTGAGGGGTTTTATATTTTATATTGTTGCATCGACTCAGTTGTCTTGTGTCTTATCTGTCAGAGAGAAACCATTATTTATTAACCTGTTAAAATGTTATATTTTGCTGCATGTACCTTTTAAAGTTCTCAACAAATAATCTGAGGGGAATCCCTTGTGGTGTATTTTTAACTTGTGATGTGTCATTTTGTACTTTGAGCTGCACGTGTTGTTTGGAAAGTGCTGTATAAATAAAGCTTTATTATTCATTCCTCCGCTGTATATAAAAGACCTGATTGATGCTGTTAATAATTCCTCTCTTCCTTCCTGCAGATAAACATGACCCACCTGATTAAACACCTCTCGTTCGGGAAAGATTACCCCGGCATCGTGAACCCTCTGGACGACACGGACGTCAACGCACCTCAAGGTCAGACACTTCACATTTAACTGTTTCAATATAATGTTAGCGGGAACAACCAGAGGTGGGAAGTACAAATACTTCGTTACTGTACTTAAGTACATTTTTCTGGTGCCAGTACTTTACGCCACTACTTATTTTTCTGACGACCTTTTACTTTGACTTCTTACATGTTGAACACAAATACCTGAACTTTCTAATCTACATGTTGAACACAAATACCTGTACTTTCTACTTCTCACATTTTCCAAACAGGCTGGTTCCTTTAGTTTGAATGTGTGTTTGGTGGCGTGATCATTGAGTCATTGCGTGCCTATTGATTTGAACACTATCCATAATTTCCTCGGGCCTCATTTATAAAGCCGTGGGAAGGTTGCTTACGTAGGGCAAAGCAAATAAGTACGCAGACATTTTCCGATTTATATAACACTGCTTACGCCGGTTTCCCTTTTATAAATTACAATCAAGAGAAACTGTAAGAAGGTATCGGGGTATCCCTGCAGAGTGGAGTCAATTAACGTTTATTTTTTTTATTTGGTGGGTTGTGTTCCAGCTGTCGATCAGCTGTGCGCAGCGTCTCCACTGCAGCCTGTGTTGTGGAGGAAACGTACACAATTTACCTCTGAACTGTAGAGGAGTAGAAGTACACAGTAGCATCAAATGGAAATACTCAAATACAAGTATCTCGTAAATGTACTTAGTTACACTCTGTCAGGTTGTGGCGTGATACAAAATATTCTTTCGTACAGATGCTCATTTGAAATCCCCCTTCCCTCTAATATTATAATAACTCGTCATGCAGCTTTAGAAAAATATCCTTCAAAATGAAACGTGCTGTTTTATGTCGGTACATTAAGAGCATCAGAACACATCGTTTGACGAATCGGAACTTTTATTGACAAAAACTGGACTGTCGTAGAGAGAGAGAGAGAGAGCACGTAGTCATTTGAAAAGTCCCATAGCTGTATAACAGTGTGGTGGAGGTGCTCCTCCTCCACTCTCTCAGCAGCGTATTCCCATCCCGATGGACATGAAGGTGCCGAACGTCCCGCCGCTTTGCATCATGGTCTTTCCCACGCCTCCCATCAGCTCCCTGCCACGCATCCCAATCCTGGAGGCACACAAAACACAGACTTTTTTTAACATCGTTTTTCGGCCTCAAAATGTTTTCATTTCTTCTGATTTTTGTACAGTTGAGAACATGTCACCAGTTACAAGGAAATATGCTTGCAGCTGTGCAATGTGTTTCTACCCAGTTAGTTATAGTGCTTTGTATAAAATATGTTGGGTGCTAAGTGAGCGCAGAGTTACCGGAGACAGGAGGAAGTGCCGACCATTCGTTAGAAATGTGATTATACTTTGGGTTGAGGATTTTTCATTTGTCTAATTAGCCAGTTCTTAGGGACACTTTGGACATCTTTAAAGTATTGGATCATAACAGCTGGGATTAAACGAAGTCCTCAGTCTACCCAGTTGCAGTTATAGTGTTTCTACCCGGGTGCCATTACAGGTTTTTTATATAATCTTTTGAGTGCAGAGTTACCTGAGACTATTGTGATTATACTTTGGGTTGAGGATTTTTCATTTGTCTAATTAGCCAGTTTTTAGGGACACTTTGGGCATCTTTAAAGTACTGGACCATAACAGCTGGGATTAAACAAAGTCCACAGATATGTCCCCCAGGTGCAGTTAGTGTAACATCTTTTGGGTGCTAAGTGAGCGCAGCGTTACCTGAGACAGGAGAAAGTGCCGAACATGGCTCCAGCAGCCATTCCCACGGCGAAGCCCATCATGAAGCCCATTTTCACCCGATCGAAGCAGTTGGGCTGCGTCTGTCCGTACGAACCGACAGCCACCGGCATCTGGAGCGGAAAGAGAGACGGGTTGATATCCAATTGATTCACGGCTTTATCATCATGTGCTCAGCAGCTACAGTTTAGATATGGTGAAGAAAAACTGGCTCCTCTAACAGAGCAACATGAATACACAGAGGACATAGGACAGATCAAATGCTGCAAGAGAATGTTTTGAGATGTGCAAGTAAATGGAATATGATGTATTAGATCAATAATCTGCACGATGCAAACAGATGGATGTTCTTTAAAGAGTTCAGGTGTTTAGTACGAGATACTTTCCCCGACTAAATTAGCCTTTACGCAGCGTTCTCTTTTAGCGCCAAACCAGCAGAGAATGAGTCGGAGTTCTCTGTTTTCTTTGGTAATATTTTGGTTCTGATCTGACATTTAAAATCAACTTGGACAGTTTTCACAATTTACATTTTAAGACTAAACAATTAATCTAGAAAATACTCCGTAAAGAAAATAAACGTTGGTTACAGCACTGACACAGGAAACTGTTCAATAAAACCAGTTAAAGATCCAAGCATGCAGCTTTAAAAAACTGGCAGCAAGATGTTGAAGTAATACTCGGATTAGTAACAATACTACATTTAAAAAGTACTTTGTTACAAGTAAAAGTCCTGCATTCAAAATGTCACTTAAGTACAAAAGTATTGTCATCAAAATATACTTAAAGTACTAAAAGTGAAAGTACTCATTCTGTGTAATGGCCCATTTCAAAATCATATATATATTGTGTTTTTATCACAACTGGTAAAGGTGGAGCTAATTTGAATAACTTGATATACTGCTGCTGGATATTTTAACCTATTATGTCATAGTTTATGTATTAGTTATAAAACAATAATACTAACCTAACCCTAAAGGTAACTAGTAACTGAAGCTAGTATTGGCTTCTGAAATATAGTGGAGTAGAGTGTAACTGCACTTAGTTACTTGACCTTTCCATCTAGCTTCCTATGAGTACATTATGAAATACATAACCACTACATATTGGACACTGGTTGATACTTGAACAGAAAACCCTACTAGCTGCTAACTGTGTCTTAAACCCAGACATTAAGGAGTTAATCTGTCGTTCTAACTCAGGTTAATGATTGGCTAGGTAATCACTGTTATTGCATTAGCTAGAGAGCTAACGTTAGCCAGCACCTGTTTTTAACATTTAGCATTAAAAACAACCAACACATTGTTCACTGCAGTCACTAAACCTTTGTTATAAAATACAATACAATAGTTGATTGTTTATTTTGTAAAGTTCACTCTTAATCCCCAGTGTGTGTTGTGTTAGCTTAGCATGCTAACCAACATGCTAACATCTCCTGTGGCCTTGACAGTTAAACACGCGTGTTTTTATCACTAAATATCTCCGTGAATCCACCTTACCTTGGACTATGAGTGTGAAATGTGTTTGTTTGTCTGGATCTTGACTGCAGGACGGTCGAGGGTTTGATGCTGCGGGGTTTAAATGTCATTTAGCACACCTCCATTACCGGATAGAGAAGAGAGAGAGAGAGAGGAGGTGTAGAGAGAGAGGGATAATGTGGAGGAGAAAATAAACAGCGCCACCGGTGGTTCACTTTAGTACTGCTGCTAGTGAGGTTTTTAACCATTGTGCCAGATAGATACAGTCAAGGGCGTAACTTTGGTTTGAGAAGTGGGGAGGACACAAAACAGGGGGTCCTCCGCAATGAAACATTTTCTCGATTTGATTCCATTTCCTGCCTTTCTACAAATATATTAGGGACTATGGTGTTAAAAAGTCCATGAGTAGTGTATATGATGAGTGTGCAAATTGATCTAGTATCCTATCCATGTGAACCTGATTTCTTTCTTTAAATTGAAGTTAAATGCATCAATCTGGTGCATTTAAATAATGAAGAGATGTATGGATACAGCTCTCAACACTCATATGAAACAGAACTGTATGTATTTAAATAATCAAAAAACCATTCGAATATGCTCACAACCAATAACACATAGTTGATAAACTCCTCGCTCCTATCTGTATCTTACATTCTTTCTTTTTATGTATGCATATTTTACTAATCACTCCCCTTTCAAACTGTGTTTTTTATTTTGTTACTGAACTATAGTACACATTGGAAGGATTTCTTAACTTATTTTTTACAACTAGGCTTATATGAAATATATTGGAGATATTTGTTTACATGTATGACCATTCCCTTTGAGACCCTCTGAGATAATTTAGACTAATGTTTACAATCTAATCCCTCAGAGTCCTTTAGCTCACTGAGCTGACGTTATCTCTCTCAGTCCCGCAGGAAAGAGCTCTCCCTCTCCTTATTGTTGAAACAGCTTCGAATCGCCGTTAGCTCCAAGCTAGCACCAGATGCTAACAACAACCCCTGTAACTCTCTCTGTCTCTCTCGGTCTCTCTCTCTCTCACAAAATGCGCTCGTGCCACACACACACAGACGCTCCTTCGTGACGATGACCGCTTGGGTAAAAAAACAAAAACACATTTGAAAAGTGGGGGGGACACAAACGGGATTTTTAAAAGTGGGGGCCATGTCCCCCCTGTCCCCAGAGGAAATTATGCCCATGGATACAGAAGTATATACTTTATTTATATCTACAGAAATATTAAGAAATACACTATAGACAGATAGTGGCATTGGATTGATGTACATTATAATTGTGCAAATAGTTCTGGGTTGTAGAAAAGGAGACACTTTACAAGTTATGGGTCAGTGCGTTATTGCAGTTGCAGGAACATTTCCCCCATTTAATTAATTACATGTAATGAATCACCTTGGCTGATGATGCACATGTAGACTTCTCCGAATGTTTCGGATTTTTACAGAAGTTCGAAATTTTCGCAGAATTTTTACTTTTTCTCAGAGAATTTCGATTTTTCACACATTTCATTATGTAAACAAGCTTGCATTTATTGCATTAAAACTCTATAAATGTACCAATATTTAGTAGTTATGATCAGGAGTGAAGCTTGTTTGTCATCCAGTGGGACGGGTTAATAAATAAACCAATTAAAAAATCTATTTTAAGCCATTTCCAGTTTGGAAGAAATGTTTTTTTATCTAAAAGTATGTCCACCCATCTTCGACCTGTTTTCCGTGGTCGGGACCCCAAACTTCCCTTCCCCTGATATTTGACCTCACTCTGTTTGCTTTTGATGCCTTAAAATTATATTTACAACCTACTGCTCTCACTTGTGTCGTGTGTGTCTGCATTCATATTTTAACAATCATTCCCTTTCCTCTCCCCACAGCATCAATGATGTACCAGTATTTTGTGAAAATCGTTCCTACCATCTACGTAAAAACTGACGGAGAGGTGAGTTCATTTGACTTTCTTTCCGTATATATTTCCTCTTTTTATTCGAACCCCATCAAAACAGACAGCTAGACCGGTGGACTTCAATTCATCATTTAAAACGAAAAAACATTTATCCATTATTTGTATTTAAATAATTTTGGTGCTATAAACTAAAACGTGATTTGTGTATCCTTTTTTCTGTTTGTGATATTATCTTCAAAACGTTATTTATAATTAAAATGAGATTTAAAATGATAGGTTGTCCGCCATAATTTGTTGCTGTTGTACTCAATTTAATCTAATGTTTAATTTAAAGCTGTATGAGACCACAATTTATAAGTTAAAACTTAAAGTATTATATTACAATGGACATTTACAAAATGGAGTTCATCATCTGGAACTATTTGTGTCAGAGAAAGTGGACTGATTTCGTAAAACCTCAAAGGCCAGATTTTATTTGTACAAACGTTTGATTTTACTGTGAAGTCCCGATCGCTCCCTAATGCTCGTATTGTTCGTACGCATTTCGGACCGACAAACTTAAGATGTACAATTACTATGTCTCTAAAAAAACACTGTGTAATTGTTTGCTGCCAAATGTCAATACTTTTTGTTTTCCTGCAGGTGGTAAAAACAAACCAGTTTTCCGTCACCAGACACGAGAAAGTGGCCAACGGGCTGATAGGAGACCAGGGGCTGCCGGGCGTCTTTGTTTTATACGAACTGTCCCCGATGATGGTTAAATTCACAGAGAAACACAGGTAGGAGAAATAGAATATAATCTTTATTGTCAGTGTGGCGGCTCAATTTCCACTTCAGTTTGAGTCGCCGAGAGGTTGGCTTTATGCTGCGACGTGTTTCAAAGAGAAATACTGAAGTGAGGTAGACAAAACACAATAACTATCGGGACAACAACGGGAAAAATGACAGCACAAGCTCACCCTCTGTCACCGCACTCAACAAGAAACAAGTGACATAAATACACAAAACACACACACGTGACGATTAACGGAAGTGCTCAACAAATACAAATAAAAGTGACGTAAACAAATAATAAACTCAAGCTAGGTAGCATTTTGGCTCCTACAGTCATTAATAGCCCAACATTAGCCGCCTT